CTATGAAAGAAGAGCAGCAGAAATAATGGATTTTGGAATACAGGGAGTCTGATTACTGAATCTGGACAAAGTGCCTGACAGTATGCTGTATGAAGCAGTCCTGCACTGGCAAAGGAGATAAATTAATAAACAGCCAAAATCTTCCTTTGACTTTGGTAATTCTGCAAAAAGAATGCATGAAATGAAATGCATTGTTAATTGGCCATTAAGGTGCTTCTTGCTTTCCAGTTGACCAACTATATAACTGTTGTTTTGCTCAGCTCTTTGCAACAATTAAATTTAATGCAATAACTTTTTCCATGGGATTTCATTTATTAGCACAAATGAGATAATAGCTGAGTTGTGCTTACATTATAGTTTTAGACTAATTAAGCTTTTTGTTCTGAAGTCTTGTCTTCATATTTTGAATATTGTGTTTTATCATTTAGAGGATCAGTTTAAATGATGAGATAATTTACTTTTCCTTTCAATTTTCCTCATTGTTTTATATTGTGGAGTGATAAAAGGAGCCAAGAGTCCTTCTTACATTTTTACAGTAAAAAAAAAAAAAAAAGTATGTTCTTTTCATTTGGGTTTATTCAACAAAAAGAGAACTAATCATGTGGAGTTAATTATTAATTCCCCAATGCATAGTGTTTGATCTATTGCAAAGTTCTATGGAAAATTAAATTTTATTGAAAGAGGCAGAATTTTAACGAGACATAAAACTGCATGTACAGACTCATCTAACAAATTCTACATTCATCTGTGAAAATGCAGAAGGGTACTTCTCCTGTTTCTTCGATTTCTAACATTTTCTTGGATGTAAAGGCAGTCATTCTGCTTATAGATTTATAGGCCTTAGGCACTGAACTGGCTCAGATCTGAGCTGCACAAAAGTTTGATCCTCCCTAGAATAAAATCATTTTGATAGTATCAAAAAGTTTACTGAAACTGCGGCTTCCGATGAGGACAGGACTCTGTGTGAAAAGTGGGGCATCTGCCCTGGTAGGAATTCTTTGCTGCCAGGAACATGGTGGTAGGTCACTCATGCTGCCCACCTGACTTTTGGGTGGTCTGTGGAGGTGCCAAGGTAAAATAGAGCTAATTTCCAAGTCTGTTGTTTCAAGGATCTCCAGAACCACAAAATCACAGAATAGCTGGGGTTAGAAGGGGTCTCTGGGATCTCTGCTCCTATCCCCCAACTCAAAGCCAAGCCAACAAGAGCACATTTCAGGACCACATCTGAACAAGTTTTAGATATCTTCAAGGATGGAGACTCCGTAGTTACTCTGGGAATCTTATTCTGGTATTTGACAATACTTAATACAAAAAGTATTTTTTTATGCTCAGACAGAATTTCCTGCATGATAGAAATTGAGAAGAGTTTGGTCCTGGCCTCCTTATAACTTCCCTTCAGATATTAATACGCCTTGATAAGATCCCCGTGAGCCCAGGAGGCTGCTGGTCTACTTTGCCATGAGGGCACACTGATGGTCAGCTTTGTGATTGTCAGGATCCCAAATCTTCCTTTGTAAAGCTTTTCCAGGTGATTTGCCCCAGCCTGTATGGTGCCTGGGGTTATTTCTTCCTATATGCATGTTAGACTACATGCCTGAATTTATTGCTCAGGTTATTCTTCTGACTTTATAACCAAGAGGGAGAAATGTGTTTCCTGTAATCCTACAGCAAATATCTAAAACGTGTCTGATAACCCACACCCTAGAAATGCCCATTTCTCTTCACTGACTGTGAAGGTACCTAGGATGGTAGAGGTAGACTTCTAGGTCAGATGAGATGAATCCCTTCCCTGCTGGTAGCGTGATGAAGTCTCTGGTCCTCGTCCTGAATTGAAGGTTAAATACATGATGTTTGACTATTCCTACAGCAAAAAGGTATTCTCATCCTGTGTTAATTTTTATAGGACAGCGTCTATTTGGAACATTATTCTGTAAGAAGAAACTAAGTTTAAACAATGAAGAAAAACTTCAAGTAGATTCTCTTGCTCTCCTGCAGGCAAGTCTGAAATGCCTTTTTTTTTGCTAGCCTTCCTTTAAATTAGACTGCAAATTGCAATTAGATGATAACTGAGAGAACATTATGCAGAGCAAGATTTGATCATAAAGTGCCTATGAAGGGACAGATAAATGAAAATAAAAGCGCATAAAAAAATTTTCTTTTTTGGAATGCTAAAGAGGGAAAGATGAAAGCTGCCATCGATAAATCATGATGAGAGATGAGTATGAAAATGAGTGAATTCAGAGACCTAGTAGGTCTGTGTCATTGATAAGGGAAAATGGACCCTTGTACTTCTAGATCACTGCTTCAAATCCAGCAGTCTGAGTGCAATCAAAAGGTGTTGTACAGCTCAGGTCTCACTGTTACTTATTTGTTTTATCAGGGAAAGATCAGTGAAACATAATGATCCATGGTCATAAACCAGGACCCGTATTGCCATGGTACATACGCAAAAGAAGGAAGTTGTCCTTACTCCAGACTTCTTACAATCTAAGAAACTGTTCCTATATGGAGTAAGCTGCTAGAATAAGTCCCATTTGTATTAAGCAATGTTCCTGATTAGAAGAGATTATTGATTTTAAAATGCTTCTAATCAATCAATTTAAATGGGAAACCTCCAAGGTAAGCATTTCACTAGCCTGTAGGAACCTTTCTCCCATCTTCTCGTTGGTCATGAATTTGTTTTATTATATCTTGAATTAGCTTCTTGGCTCCAGATAGGGACAAAATCCTTATTCATATTCAAGAAGAGAAGATTGAGAAGGGATATTATCAATACGTATAAATATCTGAGGGGAGAATGTAAAGCGGATGGGGCCAAACTCTTCTCAGTAGTGCCCTGTGACAGGACAAGGGGTAATGAGTATAAGTAAAAATAGAAGGAATAGAAGGAAAATAGAACAGGAAGTTCCATCTCTGTATGAGGAAGAAACTTCTTTCCTCTGAGGATGACAGAACCTTGGAACAGGCTGCCCAGAGAGGTTGTGGAGTCTCCTCTGGAGATCTTCAAGACTCGCTTGGATGTGATCCTGAACAATGTGTTCTAGGTGTCCCTGCCTGAGGGACAGCTAGATGGTCTCTGGACGTCCCTTCCAACCTCAAGCATTCCGTGATTCCCTGATATTTGTGTATCATGCAAACCTTCACTGATTCTTGTCAGTGCTACTGTGCTACCCAGCAGTAACCTCACCATACATCAAAGAGATGAATGAACTTTCTTGTACCCCATGCGGTCTGTTCAGGATCCTCTTGAAATCCTGGTTTCTCCCAGTGCTGTATTTCTTCCTTGAGGGCAACAAGAAGATCTTACTAACTCTCCGGCTTGCTTTTCACTGTGGCAAAAATATAGATAGTGTGCACCATGCACAGAGAAACACCTTCTGGGGAAATTCAGAGAAAGCTTACTCTTTTTTTTTTTTTCTTTCCAAAAGAACATTTTTTCTGTCAGGAAAGTAATAACCATAGAGCAGTCTCAAAAGGTTTTAATGACTTTTCTAAGCACATCAAGGGTGCTACCTGTGTGCTCTGGCACAATCCGTGGAGCACAAATGCTATCACTGGATGACAAGCAGCTTATGTATTAAGGTGATGGATTGTCCCTATTGTGAAGGAAAAATACTTTCAATTCCGTGAAAATACCATTTACTTAGCTTAGACCTGTGTGGATGAATGGAGGGGATTTTCTATATCAAATCCTATGTATATAATGGTATAATGAACTTTTTTTTTTTTTTTTTGCATAAAGCCTGTATGGAAGTTGTCCATTCTTGGCTATAAAGCCAAGCATTGCTAACATTTCGCTTGGACTTGACAACTCAGTTCAATTTGTTTACATAGAACAGGATATTTAGAATTATCAGATTTCCTTTCCTGTTATCAATAACTTTTTCTTTAGAGCTAAGCACACCTGGAGTTTGCATGTGCTTGAGCATTGATTGCTGTCAGGTTTGCTTAATTCATAGGTGCCTGCTGTTTTGGGCTAGTTGGGCTTGATACTTTTATGGAAAAGTTCATTTCTATTCTGACAGCAGTCTCGGCATGTAATTCCTCTAATGATAGGGGAAAAAAATGTGCTGGTAATCAAACCTGCGCACTTGTGGCCATGGATATGTCCCACCTCATGAAAACTCCCTGCTCCTGGACAAGCCTGGTAGGCATGTGGCAAGGTGTTAAGGTCAAAACTGGGTGAACTAGGAACTAAGAAAGCCTTAATGAGGCTAAGAATATAAAGTAATTTTAACCAGGCATGATCTGAGAAATAATCCAGCTAAATCCTCACCAAAGCTTTATAACTGGGTCATTTTTTTGGATGAGTTATTTCCCTAATCAAGCTTAGGAAGAAGTGACTGGAGCAGGAAAGAGAGGCAGAAAAGCTGAATTTGGTGGTAGCTATAACTGATGCTGGGGTGAAGCAGGCCTGAAAGCAGCTTGAGGAGAAAGCCCTTGTCCAGCTCCCAGAGCAGCAAGTAAGAAAAAAAAAAAAAGAGCAATAAATAATTTAAAAAACTAAAACAGCTTTTATGGTGGAGGTGGCCCCAGCACAGTGGGTGTCATTACAAAGGAAGTTTAAACAAACACATTTACGCTTATCTTATTTCACTGGAACTCTGCTTTTGACCTGGAGCTTGTTATTTGTGAGATGCTTTTATTTGTGGCCTCTGCAGAAGAATTGTGGTGGTGGGAAGTCAACAAGACTGGGAGCTTATCATGGATTTCCTACCTTTGCCTCTTGGTCAGAAAAGAAGTTTCAGCTCTTCCCTCAGTATGTTCCCCTGTGTGCTGCCAGATTTTAAAGTGAACAAAATTAGGTGAAGCACAAAACCAGAATGTGCCTTTGTTTGCTTTATGTAAGAGGGAAATCAGAATAAAATGATCTCAGTGGAAAATTAAATCTCCTGCTTATCAGATCCTTGAATTAAACTAGATTCCACCACAGAAAAGGACTGGAAGGTATGGAAATGATGACTTTTCATTATTTTTTCAGAAAGGGGCTGTTTGCTGGCATGAAGCTGAAGAAGAAGAAGAAAGGTGAAAAAGGGTTAACCATTGCAAACAAAGACGCACTGGGTAAGGCCTCATGAATCAGCACTGCATCTGGTGAGAGCAGGATAGGGACTACATTACACCTAATTTCACAGTGAACATACTGGAATTGTCTTAGGGCTATTGCCTTAGTAATTGATAAAATGGGCAACAAATTCCTCATCACTCCCAAATAACAGAGAGCATATTCCTTCTGCATTAGCTGTTTTGTTACAGCCACTTTAACTTGGATCTTCCCACAGAGGGGCAACAGGTTTTGAAAGATTTTTCCGTGCTCTAAAGACAGATAAGTCATTGCAGGAATGTAATTCCATCCAGAAGACCTGTTTTTGCTAGAAATCGTAATGGCAGAGCCTGAGCAGTATGTGATGGCTGCAAGCTTTATCTAGCAGCAGTTCTCTTAAGAGTGTGCAAGGGCTTGGTTTTTATCTTTATCTAACTGCATATCCACCAAGCACACAGAGGTTCCTGCTTCTTCCTCTGAATGCACTGCTGGTTCTCCTGCTCTCTCCCACTACCGTTGATCTTCCCCAGCCGGACAGTTCTCCTGCTGTCACACTTCACCGCGCTGGTATGTCACCAGAGCAAATTATTTCCCTTATGCAGTTCTGCCTTGCAGTCTTTTGACTCAGATTTCATAGGGCCTTTTAAAACAGGGACTCCTGTGTGTTTAGTGCAGCCCATGAATTATAGTACTGCAATAAACCTGCCAATATTGTGCAGAAACAGAATACTTATTTTGTGTCATAAGCACTGTTTAGCTGAAGGATGATACTTTCAAAACGATTATCTTTTGGCCTTTGTAGCAAGAAGGGCTTTGGGCTTTTGGAGCAGAGAAAAGCACTAAATATCACTAAACTTCCTTGTAATTACAGATATTTTAGAGTTTATGATCTTATACTCAATAAGCTATACCATGTTCTATATGGTACACTGTATTCTAATTGCTTCAATCTTCCTTATAAGCATCCACACTTGTGCAACCTTTTATTTTAAATGATTATGTCTTTGAAGCATTGGATAGATTGATGTCTTAATGTCGCATCTTCATATAGTTCAGTAGTGTCTTTATTGTTTAAGAGTCTGATATAGCAAAGATAAATAAATTACTGGTTGTTTCTTGTCTTGATTGTGGTTTTGGGCTTAGTTCACCTGTCAGGGACATACCAAGGAATG